AACACTTTTTGATATCCTTCTTAACCCAGACAAACCGAGGGGCAAGACCTTATGATTTAAATTCATATTTTTCCATTCTCAAAACATTTGTGAAGACAGCATTTCAGTGTTCCTACTTGAGTCCTGGATTGTCAAAGAGAATTTGGGGAAGATGCACAGAAAAAGAGAAATGGGAAATCCCACCTCACAATGTGGTTGCAGACATTTTGTCTGAGGACAGCCACAGTATTTCCACTGCAATCCAGGCTATCTCCTCAGTGCTTCATGCTGTGTATTGCTCTCATCTGAGTTGGAGAACAATCCAAATTGGGGGTCATCTGGTACCTCAGGTAGTACAGCCATGGCAGGTAAGATGTTCCTTCTGTGGAATTCCAATGACATTCAATTCTTCAGTTTCATGATGGAGCAGAAATAGTCTTGATACAGGGTGCTGTACAGTTTCCCAATTTCTCCTGCGTGTTTGATGTAGTCTACATGGGATAAGAAGATTGAGAGAGGGAGATTTCTTGTGTCTAAGTTTTTAAATGGAATACTTGAGGTGGTTCAGGATGCTGTAAGAAAAGGGAATGCTGCCTCAATAGAGAGTTCCATTCTATATCTGTAGATTAAATAGCTATCAAGATGTCACTCATATTCTCCTTGATCATCCAACCTTGACTTTGTCTACTGCGAAAATCTGGGCAATTCAAATCTATGCCTCTTCTGATACAGATACAGATAATCAGAGTTGGAAGGGACCTTGTAGGTCATCTAGTCCAATCCCCTGCCCAAGCGGGAGACCCTACACCATTTCTGACAAATGGCAGTCCAATCTCTTCTTGAAAGTCTCAACTGATGGCGCTCCCACAACTTCTGAGGGCACACTGTTCCATTGGTTGATTGTTCTCACTGTCAGAAAGTTTCTCCTTGTTTCCAGGTTAAATCTCTCCTTGTTCAGTTTCCATCCATTATTCCTTGTCTGGCCTACAGGAACTTTAGAAAACAGCTTGACCCCTTCCTACCTGTAGCAGCCCCTCAAATATAGGAAGACAGTTCTCCTGTCTCCCCTAGTCCTTCTCTTCACTAGACTAGCCAAGCTTCTCAATATCTTCAGGAAATTAGCAGGTCAATTGCTAAAGTTCTCCTCTTCCTACTTACAAAATCGAGAATTGATATGGGGGAGGGTCTTGTTTCAGAGGACATAGACAAGGGGAAGAAGAACAATTTCCAAGCAGAGGAGGAAGAAGAGAAAGGTTGGTAAGAGAGAAGAAACAGAAAGATTGCATTGGCACACCTACCAATGAAGATAGGACAACTCAGCATCAGATTGCTGAAGATGATTCAAAGATAGAGTGGAGTCAAAGTTTCAGGCAAAGAAATTTAGGGCATTGGTGTTTTAGCCAAATCTATCACCGAAGTTGCTTGGCACTTTAGATCAGTATTGAGGAATCAACCATAGTGAGATGTCCAGCTTTCCCAGGGTCTTATATCTGGAGTCAAAATATATTTGTGACCTGAGACTACAACTTCCTAAAAGGGATCAGGCCTGAGTGATAAAGCAAAAGGGGGGAGAGAGAAAGAATCCTTACTTCGATTCTTTCTGCCAACATTTGCAGACAGAGGCACTGAGTTGATGCAGACTATTTTGAATTAGGATTCATATGGTAATGTGTGCCTTTTTAGCTTCATCCTTTTCTAAGAAACTTCCAGCCTTACAATCTTTCTGGGGATAATGTTTATTTGGATGAGGATGGACATCTGGTTGCTGACTTGGATATCATAAACTGGGCAATGTTTCCCAACAAGTCTACTGTTGGAGTGAAAATAGGGAATATAGAAAGGGAAGCCTTTTCAGAAGTCAAGGTCTCCATCAATCAGAGTGCCATCCAATGGCCAACATCATTTAACCAGGTAGTTCAGTTGTCATTGTTGCTATTTTATCATTTATCTAATCCTATACATGGAAATTGAAGTCTTGCCACTCTGATGAGGGGGTCTGTGTTGAAAAATGGTTTGGTTGAAGGAGACTCTCCAGTTTCTCCTTGGATTCACAAAATCTCTCTAAGTGTTTGGACGCCAGAATTGTTCTGGGGCAAGGTGGAAATGATGTGGTTGGTTAACCCAATGCTGTTTGTAGCATGTCAGAATCATGCTTTAAGTCTTGAGATTCAGGAGATACAAGTTGGAAAAAGGCAACAAGTTACAGTGGATGTTGTCCAAGCAATTGCTGAGATAGGAGCAAGCAACCTTTTGCATTCCCTTCCTTGTATTACATTCCCCATTTTTTAAAATCATGGGCCGTTCATGCTGAAGATGATGAGATATGATATCCATAGCACATGTTCAGAGTTCCATCTCTGAACATGTGCTATGGACAAAATCATGCTGTCATTCAATCTTTTACAAAAGGATGATGTTTACAATACTTTGTGAACAAAGCATTTTTCACTGTGTTTTGAAAGAGACATTAAAACCACACTCCTGAATTTTCTAAATTGGAATCTGCTGAATTATTTACTTTTCATAAGTAATAATCTCATTTGTACACTTCTCCAATTTTATGTTTAGAAGGCGCCTTTTTCTAGGTGTACTAAAAGTTGTCTCCCAGGATACAGCAAGGTGATGAGAGAGGGAGCACCGGTTTGCTGCTACGACTGCTCCTCGTGCATTGAAGGAACAATTTCCAGACAGGAAGGTAGGTGGCTCAAAAGCAAAGAAGATGCCCCATTCAAGTATAAACCAGATCTGACCAATATTTATTGTTGTACTTATACTTCACTGTCTTCTTTTGGTAAATAAGTTATAATATGTTCAAAATTACTGGATACACTACTTACACAGCAATTACTTATGTTTCTCAGATGAAGCCTACTGTGAAAAGTGTCCAGATGAACAGCATTCTAGTAAGAATCGAGATCAATGTGTTCTCAAAGTTTTAAGTTACCTATCTTATCAAGAAACATTAGGTCTAAGTCTGGTGCTCATTGCCTCTATTTTGTCTCTAACCACTGCCTTCATCCTGGGAATCTTCATTAAAAACCAAAAAACTCCCATAGTCAGAGCTAACAACCGGGACCTCACCTACATTCTCCTGGTCTCTCTCCTACTATCCTTCTTGACTTCTCTTTTATTTATTGGTCGCCCCCAGAAAGTGACCTGTCTCCTTCGACAAACTACCTTCAGTGTTGTCTTTTCAGTGGCTGTGTCTTCTGTGCTGGCCAAGACTGTCATGGTAGTAGTAGCATTTCTGGCCACAAAGCCAACCAGCAGGATGAGGAAATGGCTGGGGAAAAGTCTTCCCAACTCCATTGTCTTGTCCTGTTCTGGAGTTCAGGTGGGCATCTGCCTTACATGGCTGGGAATCTCACCCCCATTCCCAGATTCTGACTTTCATTCCCAACCAAGACACATCCTGCTGCAATGCAATGAAGGCTCAGTCTCCATGTTCTACACTGCCCTTGGCTACATGGGTTTTTTGGCTGCTATCTGTTTCTTGGTGGCTTTCTTGGCCCGAAAGCTTCCAGGGACATTCAATGAAGCCAAGTGGATCACCTTCAGCATGCTGGTTTTCTGCAGTGTTTGGATCTCCTTTGTCCCCACCTACCTGAGCACCAAAGGGAAATACATGGTGGCTGTACAGATTTTCTCTATCCTGGCCTCCAGCCTGGGTTTGTTAGTCTGCATCTTTGTTCCTAAATGCTACATCATTATTCTGAAACCTCACATGAACACCAAGCAGCACTTAAGGTTGAAAAATTATGAGAGTTGTTGATTAATAGTACTTATTTTTTCTAAATAATTACTGTACTATAAAATAAAATAGTTTAGAAATAAAATCCTTTTTATGTGTTGTAAGAAATATTTCTGATTCTTGAGAGACCTGGAGTGCAAGAAAAGTATTTATGTCATGCCAAACTGTTTAGTCAAGAAGAAAATCCAACTGGATTGACTATGCAAATGTTCTGAGTGTGGGAAATATGTTCCTCAAAAGGCATGTCCTGTGGATCATCACACTGAAGAGAAGAAGTGTCAATGATAAGAGTATGAGAAATATTTTGCTGATTGTTCTACAGTAGAATATTGAGTGAGCTTTAGGAGAACTCATCATGGCCAACTCGTCACAGGACAACTTGCTGTGGGATAAGATCAATAGGAACTATCACTAATATCAAAGAAACAGTGGAATAGAATTATAGAATAGAATAGAATAGAATAGAATAGAATAGAATAGAATAGAATAGAATTCTTTATTGGCCAAGTGTGATTGGACACACAAGGGATTTTTCTTTGGTGCATATGCTCTCAGTGTACATAAGAAAAAAAATAAAATACATTCATCAAGAATCATAAGATACAATACTTAGTGATAGTCATAGGGTACTGATAAGCAATCAAATCATACTAGGAAACAAATAAAACAATATAAATTGTAAAGATACAAGCAACACGGTTATAGTCATAAGTGGGAAGAAATTTTTAAGCAACACTTTCTTCAATGTGGGTGTTAAATGAGGATGATAAATATAATTAATGTACCAAGAAAATAATTTTCCTTTCCATTACTTTATTTTATCACAATCTAAGTTCCACCATAATCATAAATAAGCAATGGTGTTAATTTATTTTCTGAAATCATTTAGGAAAAGCATCACAGAGCAGCTTTTCTCTGTCTAATTTTGAGGTTAGGTGACAATCTATTACTAATGATGTTGAGGGTTTGGTGCCACTTTTCATTTCATACTTTTGCTTCTGTTTTTGGACAATTAGGAAATTAGTTTTTTGTTCCTGGTTTTTTTTAAAAATTAAATGAACATGAAAACTAGTGTAATAATTACTAGTGTAATTATGAAACTGTCCTGAATGGTTAAAATAATCAATGAATAAATAAATCAGATTGAATCAATATGCATAATTAATCATACAGTATAACATTGTAAAATTATAGATTTACTTAACATTATTAAGAATTGAGTTATTATTGTTGTGGTTATAACTGACTAATTCACAAAAGTCTTCAAATCTTTGAATTTCAAGATTTACATTACCAAGGCTCCTTATTAGTTTCTGCTGTAAACACGGGTATTCTATTACAATAACCATTAGGGGAATTAATAAACTTACGTATTAAATGTGTTCTGTTTCTAGAAATAAGTGCAAACTAAATCATACCATGAAGGATGTCATATTTCCCTGTGCAACTATCTTGTTTCCTCATGTGATAGAAAATAAGTTTTTCCCTATTTGAGATCTCCTGCTAATATGTATGCATGCTCAAATTTTCTTTGATCAATATTCTCTATAAGATCTATGCTACATTGGAGCAATTGCTGTTGCCACTTCTGGCTTCAGTGAAAACTTTGATGTTGGTACAAAGAAGTGATAAAATCCTAGATAATATTTGAATGAATTAAAAATTAAGATTCCCATAAACAAAAGGAAGGAATATAAAGCTGGTTTATTTGATGAAGGTTAAAATAAGAGATCTACAGGTAGACTTTGACTTAAGACCAGTCACTTAGTGACTGTCTGAAGTTACAACAGACCCCCAAAATGTACTTATGACCTAGATCCAATCTAAATCAGTCATTGAGATCAAAGTTTTAGTCTTCCAAGCTTTTGAACTTGTGCTGGAGTCTATCGTCAAGGAACTTCTCTCTCATCACAATGTGTTACACATTCTTTTTTTTTTTTTTTTGAAAACAATTTTATAGATTTTCTACAAACAAACAAGACAAACAAAACATTAAAACATCAACTCTCTTATGTACATACAGTGTGTCAGTTGGTTCATCAGTTTTGTGCATCCATTTCGCAGTCTCAATTACAGTTATGTTACATAACAACTCATATTGTCAATCCAAACTTATATATCCTAATATTAAAAAATCATTTGAATATACTTTTAATCATTTATGCTTTATGAGATAACAATGCTTTAAACAGTTTATTCTATAACAAATCATATAATCATACCAAATCTATCCTAAAAACACTTTATAGTTATAATGTCAAATAACAAAAGTGAAAAAAAAGATAAAGGTATTCCTTGCTGTCTAACATTCTAAGTATTCTATTATCGTATTTTGTCATCTAGCCATTGATAAAAAAGATCCCAAATTTCATAAAATTGTTTATCCTCTTGCTCTCTAATTTCAAATGTCAATCTACTCATCTCAGCACATTCCAATATTTTCTTAATAATTTCTTCCTGTGATGGTATTTTCTCATTCTTCGAGTTTTTAGCAAATACAATCCTAGCCGCTGTTAATACATTCACAATCAGATATTTCAACTCTTTACTATATGTATCTGGTAAGATTCCCAATAAAAAGAACTCCGGTTTCAAATCTATACATTTCTTTGTCATTTTTTCCAACCACATGCGAATTTTAGTCCAATATTTTTTAGCGTCCTCACAAGTCCACCACATATGGTAATATGAGCCAGGTATCTGATGACATTTCCAGCATTTTTCAGATTTGTTCTTGAACATTCTTGCTATTCTTGTCGGGGGAAAGTGCCACCTGTAAAACATCTTATACATATTTTCTTTATATGCTGTTGACATTGTCATTTTATAATTTTGAGACCACAATTTTTGCCATATCTCTAAATCAATCCCATATCCAAAATTCTTCCCCCAAACAATCATAGTTTCTCGAACTTGTTCTTCCTCTACTTTAATTCCCAGTAAATAACCATATAATTTTTTAATCACCTTCTCATCAGTACCCATCAGGATCTTATCTAGATCAGTCTGTTTATCATAGAATCCCTCTGTTTTAAAATCTTCATCATACCTTGAATGTATTTGCGCATATGAAAACCAATTCATCTTTATATCTTGTTCCTCTAAATTTTGTATCGATTTAAGTTCACCCTTTTCATCCAATAGTTCCCCATATCTAACTGTTTGTTCCTTCTTATAAATTATAGGATAGGAAAATGCTTCAATAGTCGATAACCAAACTGGAATTTTCAAATAGCATTGTCTTTTTATCTTCTCCCAGTTTAACCACAGAGACTCCCGTATATAATGTCTTCTAAAATAACCCTGTGTTTTAGTTCCCTTATACCATAAAAAAGTGTGCCAACCCAACAGCAAATCATGACCTTCTAGTGTCAACAATCTGGTCTTTCTTAATGTTATCCATTCTTTAACCCACATCAAACTTGCAGCTTGATAGTACAATTCCCAATTAGGCAAACCGAATCCTCCTCTAATTCTAGCATCTTGCAAAAGCTTTAACTTTATTCTCGCTTTCTTACCTTGCCACATATACTTCAACATAATTTTATTTAAATCTTCAAAATAGTCTTTTCCGAGTCTAACTGGTATTGTTTGAAACAGAAATAGGATTCTGGGTAAAATATTCATCTTAATTGTTGAAATTCTCCCTATTAATGACAATTGCAAGTTTTCCCATTTCTTCAAGTCTGTAGATATCTGTTGTTTAAGTTTAATATAATTATTCTCTTTTAATGTGCTACATCTTGCTGTCAAGTATATCCCCAGATACTTGACCTTATTCGTAACTTGAATTTTCAACAGGTCTGCCAATTCTTCTCTGTCTCAATAACATGTTCTTTGTCAAAATCTTTGTTTTGTCTTTATTTATTTTCAAACCAGCCACCTCACCATATGTCTCTATGTTTTCCAATAACTTTGGAGCTGTTTCTAACGGATCTTCCAATATAAAGACTAAGTCATCAGCAAAAGCTTGCAGTTTAAATTCTTCCTTTTTAATTTTCATTCCTTTTATGCTTTTATCATCTCTAATATTTCTATTCAACACTTCCAAAGTCAATACAAATCGCAAAGGAGATAGGGGACATCCTTGTCTTGTGCCTTTTCTTATATTAATAAAGTCTGTAAGTTCTCCCTCCATCATTACCTTTGCTGTCTGTTTATTGTATATGGCTTCTATTGCTTGGACAAATTTTCTGGAAAAACCCATCTGTTCCAATAGTAATAACATAAATCTCCAGTTAACGTTGTCAAATGCCTTTTGAGCATCTAGGAATATCAAAGCCATTTGCTTTTCAGGATGTGCCTCATAATATTCCAAAGTATCCAAGATTACTCTCATATTGTCTCTAATTTGTCTCTTTGGCAGAAATCCATTTTGATCTGGGTGGATGAAATTATTTAAGTATTTTTAAGTCTTTCTGCTAAAATTGAAGCAAAAATTTTATAGTCTGCATTTAATAAAGAAATGGGTCTATAGTTCTTAATTTGCAGTGGATCAGTCTCTTCTTTTGGAATAAGTGTAATATAAGCCTGTGACCATGATTTGGGTATCATCTTCTTTGACATAGCTTCATTCATAATTTCTAGAAATGGAATGCTCAATGATTCTTGAAATGTTTTATAGAATTCTGCTGGAAGCCCATCTGGACCCGGTGCTTTCCCATTATTTTGTTTCTTAAGTGCTTCAGTTAATTCCATCATTGTTATGTTGCTTTCTAGCATTTCTTCAGTCTCTTTAGGTATCTTCGGTAGGTTAGCATTTTGTAGATACTGTTTAACTTTTTCTTCATCAATATTCT